TAAGTCATTAAATAATGAGATGCCATAACATAACTCAGCCTTGCAGAGATGCCCATCGATGTCATCATTGATTTAAGGGACTAAATAATGAGAAGATGTCCCATGATCCAACCATGTGGAGATGCCCGTAGAAATCTTTATTGATTTTCTTTGACTTAATAATGAGATTTAGACACATAATTCCTACCTGGGAAGACACCCATAGACCTCATCATTGATTTAACTGAATAATGAGATGACATCACATGATTCACAACTTTGAGATCCCCATATAGATGATCATTGAATTAAGTAGTCAAATAATGAGATGGCATTGCATAATTCACCCCTGGGGTGATGACCATAAATTTCATCATTGATTTAAGTGAGTACATAATAAGATGGCATCACATGATTCAACCGGTGGAGAAGCCCATAGACTTCATCATTTATTTAAGTGACTAAATAATGAGATGACAACTCCTGCTGCAAGACTGTGGTCCGCGAGTTGGGCCAGTACTTAGCTGTGGATCTCTTCACCTTCCTCTGTGGGTTAATGGATGAACGTTCTATGATGACACCTAAGGTAATCATCAATGTGATTGCATGGCAAGTGCCCCTAAGGTGCCCTTTCCACTGTGGCTCAGAGTTTAAGCACGGCTCAGGCTTGTGCATTCCTGGGAATTTCCTTAGAGCCAGATTTCCGGCTAACCCAAAAATGGTCTCTCCATCCAAGTTTCCCTTTCCTTGATCAGTTCTCCTGCGGCCTCCCCTAACATGACCAACCCTGACCCTCGTGCTCTCCTTCTACCTTCTGCATTCTAACAAACTCTTCCTGCACGTGTCTTCCAAATATACACAGGAGACTTTGTCTGTTTCCATTTTGGGGCTATGGTAGAATCCATGCATTTTCCTAGTAGGGCTCTTCTTGTTTTTTGGACTCTCTGAAGTTGTCAACTGTAGGCTGACTATCCTCTACTTTATGTCGAATATCTACTTATGTGTGAGAACATGGGACACAGAGCTAAACAGAGAATTCTGAACAGTACAGTCTCTAGTGTCCAAAAGGCAAAGGAGGATCTGCTCCATATCCATAGCCTCCAGGGAAATGTAAATCAAACCTCATCTAAGATGTCATCATTTATTGGTCAGAATGGCTAAGATCAAAACCATTAATGACAATTTATGCTGGAGACGATATACTGTAAGGGGATCACTGTTCCTTTGCTGGTTCAAACTTGTAAGCCACTGTGGAAATATGGGTGGCCATTTCTCAAAATGTTGGTTATCAAACTGCAACAAAGCACAGCATAACCACTCTTGTGCATATAAACAAAGGATACACAATCATACCATATGGACATTCGACCTATCAACTATGCTCACAGAAGTACTTTTGTAATGGCCAGAAACTGAAACCAAACTAGCTGACCCTCCCCTGAAAACTGGATAAGGAAAATGTGGTGCATTTAAACAATGGGATACGACTCAGGGCGGAAGATAATGACATTGTGAATTTGCAGTCAAATGGATGGATTTAGAAGACAACAATCCTGAGTGGGGTAACAGCAACACTGAACAACAAGCATTTCACATTTCATATTTTAATGGGTGTTTTCTCTCCTCTGCAAATTTTGAGCTCCCATTCTTACTCTGCTGGACCTTTAAAACGAGAGAGTTTTCTCTTGTATATCAGAATATGTTCAGTAGTTACTGAAGGAAAGGTGTTCTGATGCCTCTTCTTCAAATGTGATCAGTAAAATGCTCCCTAGACCTCTCCAGTTCATGATTCCTGGAGGGACTCACTAAGCCAGGAGGAAAGAGAACTACCTCCACACATTGGCTTTCCACCTCAGGTCTACTGAAAATCTGCCCCTGATGCTTCTCCCACCCTCCATACAGGATAAATCAATCAACTGGATGTGAGCCCTGAAAAGTTGCTTCATCAGTACAGCCCCTATTAAAGGTATATAACTAGTACCACCTGAGACTCTTCTCTGTTGCAGGTTACCCTTCCTCAAGAGTGTCAATTGAAAGTAAGCTAGGCTATCACTGCAAGACCCCTCATTTGTCAGAAAAGTGCTCTAACTTGTGGACCTCATCTTGCTTCTGGAGAGTTGGAACAGCCTCTCCTGTGGAAACTGGGATCCACAGAGGCAGAAAGCATTGGCTCTTATCACAGAGATACTCATGTCAAAAATGACATTGGTGGTGGTTTTAATTTGGGTAGGTGTTTCTCTTGGTGACTTATTGGAGACAAAGCATTCATGGCCCCATAAGATGAGGCTCACTTCTGGAACTACACGAGAGTCCACATCACAGAGAAAATCACTTGCCATGTGGCAGAAACTTACAGAACAAATACACATGTAGAAGAGATAGTTAAGGTGGACAGAGTTAGAGAGAGACACTGCAGGATTTGCACACACACACAAACACACACACACACAAACACACAAAATAACACAAACATACAGAGATAGATACGAAGAGATAGAGTTAGCAAGAGAGAAAAAAAGGAAGAGAGAGAGAGAGAGAGAGAGAGAGAGAGAGAGAGCAGTGATATACATTATGAGACAGACATAGATTGAGGGAGAGAGTGACAAACATAACCACTAATGGAGAGATGAGATTGTGACAAGGTAACAGACATGAAGACAGTTATCTTCATTCTAAACAAACAAGCACAGCATTGGTGGAGGTAAATAAATAGATTGAATGAGAGATGCTCTGCGTCAGAGCTAGAGAAACAGACAAACAGACAGTCAGGCTGACACACAGACAGAAACACAGGCACACTGTGTGTGACAGTGATGTACACAGCAGAAGAAAGAATCAGAGTGAAACACAGCGAGTGACACGAACAAGAGGAAAAAAGAGACAGACAGACAGAGAGACAGACAGACTGACAGACAGAGACTGATAGAGATTCAAGTTGAGGAACGCACAGAGCGAAGCAGAGGAGAAAGTTCCTTCTTAAACTATTAATTGAATGCCTGGAAGTTCTTTCCTCTAGAAAGAGGGCCTCATATCCTGTTTGTGAGCAGTCTCCTACTCAAGATCAATCATGTTGAGAGTGTCAGTCAATGTCAGCTGGGAATTTTCTATCACAAAGCAATAATGTTATGATTTCTTTTTCCCCTTTTAAGAAACAAACTATCTGATTTCCTGACATTGGTGTAACTAGAAGTGTTAGATATAATAATATCAGTATCCCATAATGCAAGCTATAAATATAGCAAAAGAAAACAAATTCTGTCTGCAGAGTGGGTATGATTTGACTGCAGGGCTAAACACACGCCCACGCTACACACACACACACACAACATGGAAATGCTGTCTTCAGTCTTTGGTACTTAAATCATCAGGGAGCTTGGTTGGGATTAACAACTTAATCTGTGACTACCAGTTTAATTTGGAAAGAGCTGTCAAAGGAGAACCGAAAGAGTCAGGCAGAGGAGGACAAGTTAGGGGCAGCAAAGGCCCTGCCTTTGAGCCTGACTCCCTGTGAGAATTCATTTTAACAGTGGTGGGGATGGAAGAATTATTTTACCAATATCTCAAAACGGACCCACAGTTCAGGTGGGGAAATTATGGATTCTCAATAAATCAATGGCTTTCTCCTTTTTCAAAATGCATAAAGTCTTTAGCAAAGACTAGACTACCAAAAGACTCTGACAGATGCAGTTGTCTTCCTCACCATTGGCATCTACTACTGCCGAAATCCAGGTGGCAAGGAAGAGTAGTGAGGCATTGTGTGAAATGTGCAGCCATGAGGATGATAACCAAACTCGCACAAGCTGAGGAGTACTGGGTGAAATGATACAGGCTTCTTCAAACAGAAACACCACAGAAACAACAAAATGGTTGTTAAATTTTTTATTCATTTTATAGTGTTTGTTTTACAGAAATGGATACAGCAGGAGAGACAAGAGGAGGACTTCATTGCTCTGGATCTCCAGTTAGAGAATTTGAGAAGTCTCCCTCATATGCTGACAGCTGAACTCATGGAACTGGTCCTCTGCAGGAGCCCCAACTGCTTTGGCCAACTGAGTCAAAAGTCCAGTCCCCACACACTAGGCATGGAGAGAGAAACTGTCTTCCTTCCTCTTCCTCGTCTCTTGGAAGCACACATTCATGTTTGCTTTCTGCTTTGGTCTAAATCCGTGATCATGTGCTCTGCTCAGTCTCATCCAGACAGGTTCCTCCAAAGAAACCCTGTTGGGATGTGCTTGGGGCCAACAACCTCACTGATTCCCCAGTATCCGACTCAATGTAGTGAAAGCAAACCAGTACAGCATCTGGGTAGAGAATCCCAGAAGGCAGTGCTCTCCCTACCCAAAACTGCCATTCCACATATTTCCTGGCGTATGAAAGGCCTGAGCCCCCATGCTGTCTTTCCACAGGTTCTCTGAAAATGCTACAGTGTCCCGTAGTCTGCCCAGGTGTCCTTGGAAACAATGCCTGCTGCCGCTTATAGAATACACCTGTAGGTCAGAGCTGACAGGATCCTAAGATTGCTTGAGGCGTTTGGGAGGGGGCTCCAGTAATGAGCAGTGAGCAGAAGCCAGGGAGCTGTATGCTTCAGCCAGCAAGTGGGGATATGAGCCCACCATTGTCTTCCAGCTTGAAGTCTCAGAGACTTCAGAAGCATGAGCTGTTATGAAATCCAGCACCTGGGTTTTCAGCTGCCCTGCACTGTGGAGGTCAGCCATGACGAGAGTGTGGGCAGCAGTCTCCACGGAGAGGTCCTTGCAGAGGGCGTCCTCACACATGACCTTCAAACGCTCCAGGCCGTACTTGTCGGCAGCTGCAAGCAGTACATCTGCCATGCTGTGGAGATCCGGTGCCTTCCCGGTGTAAAGGAAGCCCATCATTGCTCTGAAGCATTGAGGCTCCAGGTCGTGGATCTCAATGCGGTTTGTTCTGCTCTCCTGCATGTCATGTTCAAACATGGCTCTGAAAACTGGAGAGCGAGCTGCTAAGATGGCCTTGTGAGCCCGGAATTCCTGGCCAGCTACCACCAGGCAGCAGTCTGTGAAGAAGGAATTCTCCCACAGCTCTCCTAGCTCATCTGCCAGAGTGCACCTTGGAACCTGGATCCCTGGCATCGTGGTCTCGTCAGAGAAGCCTAAGGAGTCTTGGGCCACAGTCACCTTGCATCTCAGGCTGAGTTCATTGTCTTCGAGCAGCCAAGGCTCCTGGGCCAAGAGGGAATGTCGAGGGATGAACTTTCTGAATCCCCACTGCTGATTTTGCTGGAACCTGAAGAATCTTGGGCTCTTCATGCCTTGTGTTTTCTCTCCTTCGGAATCGATGATCCAAAACTGGAACTTTGCCCACTCTGGTCTCCTTGGGCAGCTGAGCAACGTTAGGTAAACTGACAAGTAGCCTTCGCTTTCTTCATCCATCCCGTTCGGGTGTATTTTCAAACTCCATCTGTTTTTGTCCCTGGCTCCTGAGGAGAAGGTTGGGCTTTCAATGGCTTCCCTCATTTCCCGCAGGATAGAACAGAAGTTGCCGATGGTCCAACTGTAGGTGAATTTCTGGAAACTGACTTCTGTGTAGCCCCAGCTCACGGCTGCCAGGTCCCCTGACATATCGGCTTGTGGCACTTTTTCAGTTAACCTGGCTCCAAAATGAATAGGTAGGGCGTTTTCTTCTTCAACCTGGAGGTACCAATTACAGATAACTGTAACACAAAAAGATAAAAGACCAGACACTGATATTGGGGCTCAACTTCATTCTGAAGGTCAGGCAAGCAAAGCAGCCTAGCCACTAGATCTTGCCTCTACCTCAGGCTCCACGTGCTCTCCCCAAACATCACACCGCTACCTCTCCTCAGCCTAACTGGAGATCTTCTTGAGCCTGATTACTGAAAACACCGCTCTTATCGTTTATTCCACTCTATTGCTGGGATCAAGGGCATGAGCTCTGTTACTCTGTTAAACTGGTTCAATCTAGTGTGGCCCTGGGTAGACTTGAACACACAGATATCCACCCACGAGTCCTCAGGGGAAACGTGTCTGCCTGGCTTCACTGGCTAAGCAGTATGGTTGCTTTGCTCTTTTGATCACCAGTGACTTGTGAAATGGTAAACTACGTATCATCACAGACACATTTTCTGAATATTGTTTTCTGCTTTCCTCTGTATCGCCAACTCTTTGGGCCTGGAGACTTGGGTCTCTCTGAAATTCTCTATCCAGATTTCAATGTTAGATTCACAGAGGTGAGATTGAGCTTCTTGGGAGAGCTGCAATCTCACCACTACGCTGTTTCCTTTCCTAGATTGAATCTTGGGTCAACTGGTAACTACTTTTGACAATTTTATTCAACTCTTGGATGGTTTGGAGCAATTAATGCTCTCATATAGAAAAAAAAGTTTGTACCAGGGTTCACTGGAGAAACAGAACAGATAGAAAGAAACTCTGACCATATGAAGAAAGGGGATTCCTTAGAATGACTTAGGGCTGTAGGCCTGATAGTCTCACAGTATCTAGTTATGAAGAGAAAGCTGAAGACTTCAGTACTTACTCAGTCCAGAAAGTTGGACCAGTCTGCTGGTCTTCAGGATATTCTGGATGTCAGGAGAAGTAGTCGCTATTTCCAGTGAAGCTAGGGACTTGCTGCAAGGCAAGGGCCAGCTGGCAAAAAGGAAGACCTTCGTCTCTCCTTCTGCCTTTAGAGTCTCCCACCAGAGGGTGTGGCCTGTTTACCCATCAAGGTCTGGATTAAGGGTGTGTTTGTCTTCCTGCCTCCAGATCAGGATTAGATCCATGTGTCGCTGTAACTCCAACGTTCCAGTTGGATTGGATCTACATACCACAACTGAAGCTGTGCTCTCCATGTTTGGATGTTAGTTTATTCCAGAGAAAGTCAGATCAGGGAACAAGAGTCACCATAATAAGTGGAGTTTACTTCTTGTGTTACATGAAGTTCCGAAATTCTACTCATTCAGTCACAGGGACTGAGTAGATTCTGGGTGTCCATATCTCATATTTTGTTTGTTTGGTATTTTTCTCCAAACTGTGATCATTTTATCATTTGTAGAAGTTTAAAATAATGTTACTTGACATACCGATCCCGGGTCACTCTCTATCCCACAGCAATGCACACATTCTACCCACCCAACCCCCAATCCACCCCTCTGAAAGGGGCGTTCCCACATGGGAATTCAACAAATTCTGTGACATCACTGGAAGCAGACCAAAGACCCTCCCCCATGATTGTAGGGTGAGCGAGGTATGTCTCCACAGGGAATGGGTGCCCAAGAGACATTTCATGCAGTAGGGATAAATCCTGGTTCCCAGTGTGGTGGACCCAACAACTGCCCAAACCAAACAAAGGTCATACACATTCCTAGGGACCAGTTCAGTGTTATGCAGGTTTGCGGGGTGTCATTATGGACTCGGGGACCTCCCACTTGATTCTTGCTGGGCTCAGCTGTTTCTGACCCAGGGACCTGGCCACTCTGCTCATACTATCACACCTCCTGCTGCAAGACTGTGGTCCGCGAGTTGGGCCAGTACTTAGCTGTGGATCTCTTCACCTTCCTCTGTGGGTTAATGGATGAACGTTCTATGATGACACCTAAGGTAGTCATCAACGTGATTGCATGGCAAGTGCCGCTAAGGTGCCCTTTCCACTGTGGCTCAGAGTTTAAGCACGGCTCAGGCTTGTGCATTCCTGGGAATTTCCTTAGAGCCAGATTTCCGGCTAACCCAAAAAATGGTCTCTCCATCCAAGTTTCCCTTTCCTTGTTCAGTTCCCCTGCGGCCTCCCCCAACTTGACCGACCCAGACCCTCGTGCTCTCCTTCTACCTTCTGCATTCTAACAACCTCTTCCTGCACGTGTCTTCCAAATATACACAGGAGACCTTGTCTGTTTCCATTTTGGGGGTATGGTAGAATCCATGCATTTTCCTAGTAGGGCTCTTCTTGTTTTTTGGACTCTCTGAAGTTGTCAACTGTAGGCTGACTATCCTCTACTTTATGTCGAATATCTACTTATGTGTGAGAACATGGGACACAGAGCTAAACAGAGAATTCTGAACAGTACAGTCTCTAGTGTCCAAAAGGCAAAGGAGGGTCTGCTCCATATCCATAGCCTCCAGGGAAATGAAAATCAAACCTCATCTAAGATGTCATCATTTATTGGTCAGAATGGCTAAGATCAAAACCATTAATGACAATTTATGCTGGAGAGGATATACTGTAAGGGGACCACTGTTCCTTTGCTGGTTCAAACTTGTAAGCCACTGTGGAAATATGGGTGGCCATTTCTCAAAATGTTGGTTATCAAACTGCAACAAAGCACAGCATAACCACTCTTGTGCATATAACCAAAGGATACACAATCATACCATATGGACATTCGACCTATCAACTATGCTCACAGAAGTACTTTTTGTAATGGCCAGAAACTGAAACCAAACTAGCTGACCCTCCCCTGAAAACTGGATAAGGAAAATGTGGTGCATTTAAACAATGGGATACGACTCAGGGCGGAAGATAATGACATTGTGAATTTGCAGTCAAATGGATGGATTTAGAAGACAACAATCCTGAGTGGGGTAACAGCAACACTGAACAACAAGCATTTCACATTTCATATTTTAATGGGTGTTTTCTCTCCTCTGCAAATTTTGAGCTCCCATTCTTACTCTGCTGGACCTTTAAAACGAGAGAGTTTTCTCTTGTATATCAGAATATGTTCAGTAGTTACTGAAGGAAAGGTGTTCTGATGCCTCTTCTTCAAATGTGATCAGTAAAATGCTCCCTAGACCTCTCCAGTTCATGATTCCTGGAGGGACTCACTAAGCCAGGAGGAAAGAGAACTACCTCCACACATTGCTTTCCACCTCAGGTCTACTGAAAATCTGCCCCTGATGCTTCTCCCACCCTCCATACAGGATAAATCAATCAACTGGATATGAGCCCTGAAAAGTTGCTTCATCAGTACAGCCCCTATTAAAGGTGGATAACTAGTACCACCTGAGACTCTTCTCTGTTGCAGGTTACCGTTCCTCAAGAGTGTCAATTGAAAGTAAGCTAGGCTATCACTGCAAGGCCCCTCATTTGTCAGAAAAGTGCTCTAACTTGTGGACCTCATCTTGCTTCTGGAGAGTTGGAACAGCCTCTCCTGTGGAAACTGGGATCCACAGAGGCAGAAAGCATTGGCTCTTATCACAGAGATACTCATGTCAAAAATGACATTGGTGGTGGTTTTAATTTGGGTAGGTGTTTCTCTTGGTGACTTATTGGAGACAAAGCATTCATGGCCCCATAAGATGAGGCTCACTTCTGGAACTACACGAGAGTCCACATCACAGAGAAAATCACTTGCCATGTGGCAGAAACTTACAGAACAAATACACATGTAGAAGAGATAGTTAAGGTGGACAGAGTTAGAGAGAGACACTGCAGGATTTGCACACACACACAAACACACACACACACAAACACACAAAATAACACAAACATACAGAGAGAGATATGAAGAGACAGAGAAAGAGTGAGCAAGAGAGAAATAGAAGGAAAAGAGAGAGTGAGAGAGAGAGAGAGAGAGAGAGAGAGAGAGACAGTGATATACATTATGAGACAGACATAGATTGAGGGAGAGAGTGACAAACATAACCACTAATGGAGAGATGAGATTGTGACAAGGTAACAGACATGAAGACAGTTATCTTCATTCTAAACAAACAAGCACAGCATTGGTGGAGGTAAATAAATAGATTGAATGAGAGATGCTCTGCGTCAGAGCTAGAGAAACAGACAGAAAGACAGGCAGACACATAGACAGAAAGACAGGCATGCTGTTTGTCACAGATATATGGAGAGAGAGAGGGAGAGAGAGAGAAGAAAGAATCAGGGTCACTCTCATTCCACCAGCAATGCACACATTCTACCCACCCCACCCCAATCCACTCCTGGGGATCTCCTGGGAAATGCACAGGGCTTCTCATCCCTTCAAGAACAGAGCTTCCAAGATTCCAAGTCTTCTCTTCCACCAAAGGGAGCAGGTAACCAGCAGATCCAGTGCCTAGAGATTGCCTGGGAACTGCAACATATTTCCCATCCCATCAAAAGCAGAGCTGCCCAGATTCCATATCTTCTCTTCCACCAACGAGACCAGGAAACCACCAGACCCAGGAAAGTAGGGGACCAACTTCTCTGGCAGGAGAATGTATAATATTTTGTGTATCCAGGCCAGCATTCCAGTGACTGGCGATTGACTAGATACTGCAGAGAGCTTCCCATCCAGGCATAAGCCGAGCATCAGAGTTTCCATGTCTTCTGTTCCACCAACAAGTTCAGGAAACCAGCAGGCCCAGACCAGGAGATCAGCTGGTCCTTCTAGACAAGGTCAAATCGGCACTGCATCCAGGCCTGCATTCCAGTGCCTGGCGTTTACCTGTGAACTGCAAAGAGCTTCCCATCGCGGCGTGAGCTGAGCATTCCAGATTCCAGGTGGTCTCTTCCACCAACGAGACAAGAAAACCTACAGATCCAGTGCCTGGATATCACCTGGGATCAGCAAAGTGATTCCCATCCCCGTAAGAATGAGCAGCCCACATTCCAGGTCTTCTATTCCACCTTCAAGTCCAGAAAATCAGAAGATCAAGGAGACCAGGGAACTAGCAGGTGAAGCAGGACCAGGTAAAACAGGACCTGCATCTGTGTCTGCATTCCAGTGCCTGGCGATAGCCTGGGAACTGCACATAGCTTAGCATTCTCGCAGGAGCCAAGCAGCCCAGATTTCAGGTCTTCTCTTCCACCAAGATACCAGGAAACCAGAAGATCAAGGAGACTATGGGACCAGAAGGTGAAGCAGGACCATGTGAAACAGGCCCTACATCTGGGCCTGCATTCTAGTGCCTGGTGATAGACTGGGAACTGCACAGAACTTCCCATGCCAGCACGAAGCTAGCAGCCCAGATTCGAGGTCTTCTATTCAACCAACA